GGAGCTGTGACGTACTGCAGAGCTCTGCAATACCCAGCAAGAGAACTCTGACATTTAACTCCTTATATCTTAATTTACTGTGTGGCCACTTTTATTGTAAAGCATTCTGATGTAGCACTGGTTATTACTTAGTGTCACCAGAGAAAACATGCTCTTCCTCTACATTGTCTTGTTTGGTCTCTCTAAACTGACGCTGGAGAAGCGAAGTAGTGGAGTCACCATTCCTGGAGATACTTAAAAAACATGTAGTGGTGCTTGGGGACATGGCTTAGTGATGGACTTGGCATTGTTAGACTTACATTTGGACTCAGTGAAACCTAAGGGTCTTCTCTAACCTAAATGATTTTATCATTCAAGGTTTGGATTTTTTTTTTAAATGTTAGATAACACCTTAATTTTAAAATAAAATTAAAGTAAAATAAATAAAGCACTACTGAACTGCCACATGTGGCAAGCAGCTGCCTGTTGGGTTGTCGAAAGCTTTTTAATTCAAGCTCCTCTTTTTGGTACCAGTCTAAATAGTTCCATTTATTGCAAATTTTTAAGTTCTGTACGGGTTGACTTTTTGGAGCCAATGGCCTCTTGATTATAAAGTAATATTCTGCACAAATTAAGGATAAGATACACCATGGCACTAAAAATTGTGGGCTTTGTTCCAGAAACTTTCATTCTCACAGTCTTATAACTGCAGCAACTGTAACAGGTACAGAGATGCCTGCCTTTTTGCTTTTTTCCCCCCTAAATATCTCATATTTTTACCCATATAACTAACTCTTCATACTCTGCAGTGATTTATCCATGCATTRTTATTCAACCTTATTTCCCAACACCTCTGCCCACTCATATGGGCTGTTTTTCTTGTGTTCTATAATAACTTTAGCAATTACGCAAGTGAACTATCTTATTTCATCCTTGGAGGTACACGACAATTACCATGGTCTGTTTAAACAAATTTCCAGCAGACAGCATTGTGTAATTGACGTCATATTGCACTCTTTCTGCTACTTTCTTATGATGTTAATTAAATATAGTAGTGATGGAACCATCTGCATTTCCACTTTAATAAACAAAACCTGCCCTAAAGTTATAATTGAGTATAAAAACATTGCCACAAATATTGGTGTCCAAGAAATACATAAATATTGATGTAAAGGAGTTTAACAGAACAACTGCTGCATGAAATGAAGGGGCATGTGGGTGCTTTTACAAATGCTTACAGAGATTGCTCAGATCCTGTCAGATGCTCTAGATGGAACAGGAGAAKCTAGGGAAGGGAGGAAAGCCATTTAATTTCAGGAATTTGAAAAGATACGACAAAGCACACAGGAGTATTKTGTGTACGTGTTCACTTGTGTGCTTTTCTATCCCTAAGAAATCACCAGGGACCTAAAGTAGTTGAAGTTATTTTAGACTGAACCAGCCTAGCTAAAGGAGGCTTCAAAGTACAGAAATCCTTTAGTGTCTGTATGCAGATACCTCTACCTTCAAATCTGAGAAACAAGATTTTAAAAGAAACAGCAGTATCTTTTTACTTGGTGAGTTTCTAAAGCTGATTCAGGTTGGAACCTCCTTTGCAGTACTGCWCTTGGCAGCAGATCTGACATTTCTTGTCTTCTTATTGGACAAGGAAAAGCTGTAAATCATCCCACTGCTTTCCCACAGAATATTTTTTGCAATCCTGCATTAGTGGCACTAACTAAGGAGAMAGGTTAACCTTTGCCTTTAGTCAAGCTTGCAGTAAATCTCCCATTTAAAATCAGAGCCTTGACATCACCTTGATGTTTGCTATTTTGAAACCCACCTGCCTAGTTGTTAGTTATACARGCAGGAATGAAAACTGACTCAGAGGCTTTTTGTTCTTTTTATTCTAAGAGCTGGAGTGAAACAGCATACAGAATTCTTCAGCTTGCCAAATAGAGCTCTCCCAAGAGAAAATGACTTGGAGCTACTATAGTGATATTTTATGTAGGCAAAAAGGAAAAAAAAAAAMAAMCCCATASGTTTGCCACACGTTTTGATATCCCACTGCTTGTTCCTCAGGTGTTCTTCTGCAATTCTTAAAGCCTGATTTCTTGCTTGTGTAAGCTGCAATTTACATGAGTTATCTTGCTCCAGCAGCATGTTTTAAAGAAAAACAGATGACATTGAAAGAGCAGGTGAAATCTTGAGTGGATTAATAAACAGGGTAGGTCTGCCCAATGGTGTAATGTTTCAGTCATYAGGAGACAGGGCACTCAGCACTGCATGCAAGCTTGTGCTTGCCAACCCACTGCCTAACTACACAATGAAGGTCTTATCAAATACATATGGTCCRAGGAAGCTTGTGCAGTCCCAATTCTTAACAAATGGCCGAGTCAGAATAATAGGTTTATAAATTGCATTGTTTTCTAGGAGATAATGTAGAGAGGGACAGTGGGCAACAGAGAGAACATCTGAAGCAAAGTGGTGAAGAAGGCARGTTGAGGATCCCAGCCAGCCCTGCAACCTATGTCAGAATCCCTCTGCAAATCTGCAGCCTTATTACAGCCTGTCACTGAATAATTTTCGTAGTCTGAAAAAAAAATTATTTTTGTCAAAGTCAAATTGAGGGGAAAATATYTAATATTTATTGTTGCCATGTTTTTTCAAAGCATTTAAAAAAGAGCAAAGAGAATGGAAAACCAAAATCAGTGGCCTCAAAGACTTCGCTTTCACAATTGGTGGCAGAAGAGAAAAATTGAGCATAAGAGCAAAGTAGCTCAGACGAGCTCCACAGTGTTGTGAGCACAGATGTGTTGTTATCACATAATTCRTGACAAACAAATTATCCTGGTATGTAGGAAGAGGAGGAAGGTAGTAGAGACAGCTTGACTAAGAGATGTTCTGTGACCTCAAACACAAGAAACTGGTTTTGCAGGGTTGCTCTGTAAATCAGATCAACAAAATTATCTGAATTAAAAAGGAGCACAAAAAACGTCTTTGTCCTTCCCTCCCCCACTCTTTGTTTTTTGTTAGACCGAGTTGTTTCACTGACACAGCTGATGGTGTAGGCCTACAAACAACTGCTTCAGCACTACTCAAGGAGTTGATACTGATGCTTAGAGGAGAGGATCTGCTGCCTTGGAGATGAGATATTTAGCATGGTCATTACATGGTCAGAAAGGTCATTACTTTTCAGTACAAATCTGAGATGGGAAAAGACTGGCTGGGTAGCAGTAATTTGAAAAAGCCTGAGGTGGGACAGATCATGACCTGCAGGCACAGCAACAATGTGATGCTTGCAAAAGAAAAGAAAAAAGGCAAATGTTTGAGTCACATAGAACCAGATGCAAATTCCAGCATATCACATAACCTTCTCAATCGATTTAGCATTGACAGTGCGAATGTAGGGTCTAGTAGTGGACATCATTAAGTTACAAAAAAACATGTAAGCCAGCTGGAGCTAGTTCAGAAGAGAACAGCAGAAATGYGTGTTTGAAGTGGCCCAGAAGGAAAAAAATCAAAAGAACCTTTTTAACACAGGAAAGACTGAGGAGATGTATGGCAGTTTCCAAATCTGCAGCATCTTTTTATATATTCCTCAGGGATTAAATCTTTTGCCAATGTCCTCAAGTAACAGGAGAAGTTGTATGGGGCTACAATTGTAGGATCTAAGATCCAGCTTCTTGTCTCCAGCCATGCGTATAACAAATGCAGGAGGAGACTGCCTGAGGAATGATGTGAAAGTATCTGTCGCTATAGGTTTTAAAACAGGTTCGACAGGGCTCTGTTGGGAGCAATTTAGACATGGTAGGCGCTCCCTGGGAAAAAGGCCCAGTGAGCAGCATTCACGTGACTTGCTGCGAGGCTCTGSAATTCAGGTGAGCAGCCTGGCCATGAAAAGCACAGAAAACATGGCCTTATCACTCCACGCAGTCATGAGTGCTCTGTACTGAAGCGTTTCTGTAGGGCGTCTGCTTCTCCACGCCACAATGGGAAACACACTTTTTGTGTTGTTCCGCTTTTGTTGTTGAGTGGAACATAAATATCTGCTGCAGTTGTGGGGGAACAGTGTTTTTCATTTTACTCCTAGGTAATTAAATTTCTCTTTTTTATGAACAACAATGCTTCGACCATCTGTATTACCTGGGCTGAAACACCTA